CCCTACCATAAGGATATAATAGAATGTAGTGGTAGTCCTGTGTTTAATGTATTATTACTCCTTACCATCAGAATATACTAGAATGTAGTGGTAGTCCTGTGTTTAATGTTTTATTACACCCCTACTATCAGGATATACTAGAATGTCGTGGTAGTCCTGTGTTCAATGTTTTATTACAGCCCTACTATCAGGATATACTAGAATGTAGTGGTAGACCTGTGTTTAATCTTTTATTACACCCCTACTATCAGGTTATACTAGAATATAGTGGTAGTCCTTTGTTTAATGTTTTATTACACCCCTACTATCAGGATATACTAGAATGTAGTGGTAGTCCTGTGTTTAATGTTCTTTTACACCCCTACTATCAGGATATACTACAATGTCGTAGTAGTCCTGTGTTAAATGTTCTATTACACCCCTAAAATCAGGTTATACTAGAATGTAGTGGTAGTCATGTGTTTAATGTTTTATTCACACCTACTGTTAGGATATACTAGAATGTAGTGGTAGTCCTGTGTTTAATGTATATTACACCCCTACTATCAGGTTATACTAGAATATAGTGGTAGTCCTTTGTTTAATGTTTTATTACACCCCTACTATAAGGATATACTAGAATGTAGTGGTAGTCATGGGTTTAATGTTTTATTCACACCTACTGTTAGGATATACTAGAATGTAGTGGTAGTTATGTGTTTAATGTTTTATTCACACCTACTGTCAGGATATACTAGAATGGAGTGGTAGTCCTGTGTTTAATGTATATTACACCCCTACTATCAGGTTATAATAGAATGTAGTGGTAGTACTAGATCTCTATCAACCTTGTCTTTAGGACAGGAAGACCAGAGGCCATGATATTTGGCCAGTAGGTACCCGAGTTAGAGAACTATAAAGTTTCCTCAAATAAATGACCTTGACATAATTTCAAGGTCACAGGGGTAAAATATATATAAAAACTTCACACATCTTCTTCTGAAGAAGTAGGAGGCCCAGAGTGATGATACTTGGCCAGTAGGTATCTAGGACATAGTGCTATTAAGTTTACTCAAATAAATGATCTTGATCGACATACATAAAAAGTCACATGGGTCAAATATGTATAAACCTTTAAACAATTTCTTCTTAATAACCAAAATGCCTAGAGTAATGATATTTGGCCAGTAGGTACCTCGGATGGTGTTCTATAAAAGTTCCTCCAATAAATGACCCTGACCTACTTTCAAGGCCACAACGATCAAATGTATAAAAAAAATCTTCTACTTCTACTGAATAACAGGAGGGATAGGGTGATGCTATTTGGCTAGTAGGTTTTTAGGATGTAGTGCTATGAAATTCCCTCAACTGGATGACATTGACAGACTTTCAGGAGGCCCTGGGTGATATGATATTTGAACAGAAGGTAAAGAGTAGTATAAAGTTTTATTTGGTCTGTAACAATCTTAGGCGAAGGAGACTCAATATATGGAAATATTTGCAAAATTACTTTTATTGAGAATATTTCCCAGGATTGCTCAAATATCAAGTTGAGTGATGCAGGCCCTACACAGCAGTTAACTGTTGATCAGGGGATTTAATCTTCTAGTGTCTCACTGGTAATGTGGTGTACTTTATGAGTAGGACATCAGAGATGACGAGGAATTGTGACAGTCTCAGTCGACGACATTTTGCCTTCCTTGGTCTGTGGAACTGTCCTGATCTACCGTTTTCCTGGAATGACACACCAGCAGACCAGGTAGGATTTATTTAAATCCCTACACCATACTGTGTACTACCTACACCTTACTGTGTACTACCTACACCTTACTGTGTACTACGTACACCTTACTGTGTGCTACCTACACCTTACTGTGTGCTACCTACACCTTACTGTGTACTGTGTACTCCCTACACCTTGCTTTGTACTACCTACACCTTACTGTGTACTCCCTACACCTTACTGTGTACTCCCTACACCTTACTATGTACGACCTATACCTCACTGTGTGCTACCTACACCTTACTATGTACTACCTATACCTCACTGTGTGCTACCTACACCTTACCGTGTTATACCTATACCTTACTGTTTTCTACCTACACCTTACTGTGTACTCCCTACACCTTACTTTGTACTACCTACACCTTACTGTGTACTACCTACACCTCACTGTGAGCTACCTACACCTTACTGTGTACTACCTACACCTTACTGTGTACTACCTACACCTTACTGTGTACTCCCTACACCTTACTTTGTACTACCTACCCCTTACTGTGTACTACCTACACCTCACTGTGAGCTACCTACACCTTCCTGTGTACTCCCTACACCTTACTGTGTTAAACCTATACCTTACTGTGTACCACCTACACCTTACTGTGTGCTACCTACACCTTACTGTGTACTCCCTTCACCTTACTTTGTACTACCTACACCTTACTGTGTGCTACCTACACCTTACTGTGTACTCCCTATTCATACTGTGTACTACCTACACCTTACTGTGTAGGTATAACACAGTAAGGTGAAGGTAGTACACTGTAAGGTGTAGGGAGTATACAGTATCTATCACGTACTCCCTTCACCTTACTGTGTTATAGCTACACCTTACTGTGTAAAACCTATACCTTACTGTGTACCACCTACACCTTACTGTATACTCCCTACACCTTACTGTGTACTACCTACACCTCACTGTGTACTCCCTACACCTTACTGTGTACTACCTTCACCTTACTGTGTACTACCTTCACCTTACTGTGTTATACCTTTACCTTACTGTGTACTACCTACACCTTACTGTGTGCTACCTACACCTTACTGTGTACTCCCTACATCTTACTTTGTACTACCTACACCTTACTGTGTACTACCTACACCTCACTGTGTGCTACCTACACCTCACTCTGTACTACCTTCACCTTACTGTGTACTACCTACACCTTACTGTGTACTACCTACACCTTACTGTGTACTACCTTCACCTCACTGTGTGCTACCTACACCTCCCTGTGTGCTACCTACACCTCACTGTGTTATACCTATACCTTACTGTGTACTCCCTACACCTTACTTTGTACTACCTACACCTTACTGTGTACTCCCTTAACCTTACTATGTACTACCTATACCTCACTGTGTACTATCTACACCTTACTGTGTACTACCTACACCTTACTGTGTACTACCTACACCTTACTGTGTACTCCCTACACCTTACTTTGTACTCCTTACACCTTACTTTGTACTACCTATACCTCACTGTGTACTACCTATACCTCACTGTGTACTACCTTCACCTTACTGTGTACTACCTATACCTCACTTTGTACTACCTACACCTTACTGTGTACTCCCTTCACCTTACTTTGTACTCCTTACACCTTACTTTGTACTCCTTACACCTTACTTTGTACTACCTACACCTTTCTGTGTACTACCTACACCTTACTGTGTACTACCTACACCTTACCTACACCTTACTGTGTACTACCTACACCTTACCTACACCTTGCTGTGTACTCCCTACACCTTGCTGTGTACTCCCTACACCTTACTGTGTACTACCTACACCTCACTGTGTGCTACCTACACCTTACTGTGTACTACCTACACCATACTGTGTTATACCTACACCTTACTGTGTACTCCCTTCACCTTACTGTGTACTACCTACACCTCACTGTGTACTACCTACACCTTACTGTGTACTCCCTACACCTTACTATGTACTCCCTACACCTTACTTTGTACTACCTACACCTCACTGTGTACTTCCTACACCTTACTGTGTACTCCCTACACCTTACTGTGTACTCCCTTCACCTTACTGTGTACTACCTACACCTCACTCTGTGCTACCTACACCTCACTGTGTACTACCTACACCTTACTGTGTCCTCCCTACACCTTACTATGTACTCCCTACACCTTACTTTGTACTACCTACGCCTCACTGTGTACTTCCTACACCTTACTGTGTACTCCCTACACCTTAATGTGTACTCCCTACAGTACTACCTACACCTTACTGTGTGCTACCTACACCTTACTGTGTACTCCCTACATCTTACTTTGTACTACCTACACCTTACTGTGTACTCCCCTATACCTTACTGTGTACTACCTACACCTTAATGTGTACTCCCTACACCTTACTGTGTACTACCTACACCTCACTGTGTACTACCTACTCCTTACTGTGTACTACCTACACCTTACTGTGTGCTACCTACACCTTACTGTGTACTCCCTACATCTTACTTTGTACTACCTACACCTTACTGTGTTATACCTACACCTTACTGTGTACTACCTACACCTCACTGTGTGCTACCTACACCTCACTCTGTACTACCTTCACCTTACTGTGTACTACCTACACCTTACTGCATACTACCTTCACCTTACTGTGTACTACCTATACCTTACTGTGTACTACCTACACCTTAATGTGTACTCCCTACACCTTACTGTGTTAAACCTATACCTTACTGTGTACTACCTACACCTTAATGTGTACTCCCTACACCTTACTGTGTTAAACCTATACCTTACTGTGTACTACCTACACCTTACTGTATACTACCTTCACCTTACTGTGTACTCCCTACGCCTTACTGTGTACTCCCTACTGTACTACCTACACCTTACTGTGTACTACCTTTGTACTCCCTACACCTTACTGTGTACTCCCTTCACCTTACTGTGTACTACCTACACCTCACTCTGTACTACCTACACCTCACTGTGTACTACCTACACCTTACTGTGTACTGCCTACACCTTACTGTGTACTCCCTACACCTTACTTTGTGCTCCCTACACCTTACTGTGTACTCCCTACACATTACTTTGTACTCCCTACACCTTACTGTGTACACCCTACACCTTACTGTGTACTCCCTACACCTTAATGTGTACTCCCTACACCTTACTGTGTACTACCTACACCTTACTGTATACTACCTACACCTTACTGTGTACTACCTACACCTCACTGTGTACTCCCTACACCTTACTGTGTACTACCTACACTTTACTGTATACTACCTTCACCTTACTGTGTACTCCCTACACCTCACTCTGTACTACCTACACCTCACTGAGTACTACCTACACCTTACTGTGTACTACCTACAAAGGTCAAGACCTTACTGTGTACTCCCTACACCTTACTATGTACTCCCTACACCTTACTTTGTACTACCTACACCTCACTGTGTACTCCCTACACCTTACTGTGTACTACCTACACTTTACTGTATACTACCTTCACCTTACTGTGTACCTGTGTACTCCCTTCACCTTACTGTGTACTACCTACACCTCACTCTGTACTTTGTACTACCTACACCTTACTGTGTACTCCCCTATACCTTACTGTGTACTACCTACACCTTAATGTGTACTCCCTACACCTTACTGTGTACTACCTACACTTTACTGTATACTACCTTCACCTTACTGTGTACTCCCTACACCTCACTCTGTACTACCTACACCTCACTGAGTACTACCTACACCTTACTGTGTACTACCTACCCCTTACTGTATACTACCTTCACCTTACTGTGTACTACCTACACCTCACTCTGTACTACCTACACCTCACTGTGTACTACCTACACCTTACTGTGTACTACCTACACCTTACTGTGTACTACCTACAAAGGTCAAGGTCATTATGTTCAAAGGTCAAGGTCAAATATTGCATCTTGTCACTGATGAACATTTTGTTATGACATGATGAAGAAAAGTTGATCAGAATTAAACAAGGATTCAACATGACATAATGTCAAGGTCATTGGGTCAAAGGTCAAGGTTACATTTTTTTTCTTTTCACTGGTGAACATTTTGGTATGACACTTTGAAGCAATGATGCTCAGAATTAATTAAGGAGTCAACCATGACCAAATATCAAGGTCATTGGGTCAAAGGTTTTTGGTTAAATTTTATATCTTTTCACTGGTGAACATTTTGGTATGACACTTTGAAGCAATGTTGCTCAGAATTATATGTTTTATATACTATTTGCATTGACATTACAGTTCTCTGGCTGGGAAAATGATGACCAGATTTTATTCTCCGCCAGTGTGTACCTGGAAAATGAGAAAATGCTCACCCATGTTCTCAACAAGTTGTTTGCAAGTCTACGAGTTGGACCTCGCCCAAATAAGATTCTAGATGGAGTTCCTGTAAGTATCAAGTAGATTAGATGCTGTATCATACTAATGTACAATGTGAGATTAAACCTCATACAGAATACCAGGTAATGTGAGATTAAACCTCATACAGAATACCAGGTAATGTGAGACTAAACCTCATACAGAGTACCAGGTAATGTGAGATTAAACCTTCTACAGAATACCAGGTAATGTGAGATTAATCCTCATACAGAATACCAGGTAATGTGAGATTAAACCTCATACAGAATACCAGGTAATGTGAGTTTATACCTCATACGGTTGAAGGTCAATGCTCACTCTGGTTTACTATGGTGACACAGTTGAAGGTCAATACTCACTCTAGTTTACTATGGTGACAAAGTTGAAGGTCAATACTCACTCTGGTTTACTATGGTGACACGGTTGTAGGTCCATGCTTACTCTGGTTTACTATGGTGACACGGTTGAAGGTCAATACTCACTCTGGTTTACTATGGTGACACGGTTGTAGGTCAATGGTTACTCTATTTTACTATGGTGACACGGTTGAAGGTCAATGCTCACTCTGGTTTACTATGCTGACACAGTTGAAGGTCTATGCTTACTTCGGTTTACTAAGGTGACACAGTTGTAGATTAATGCTCACTCTGGTTTACTATGGTGACACGGTTGAAGGTCAATACTCACTCTGGTTTACTATGGTGACACGGTTGTAGGTCAATGGTTACTCTGGTTTACTATGGTGACACGGTTGTAGGTTAATGATGACTCTGGTTTATTATGGTGACACGGTTAACGGTCAATGGTTACTCTGATTTACTATGGTGACACGGTTGAATGTCAATGGTTACTCTTGTTTACTATGGTGACACGGTTGTAGGTCAATGGTTACTCTGGTTTACTATGGTGACACGGTTGTAGGTCAATGGTTACTCTGGTTTACTATGGTGACACGGTTGTAGGTTAATGATGACTCTGGTTTATTATGGTGACACGGTTAACGGTCAATGGTTACTCTGATTTACTATGGTGACACGGTTGAATGTCAATGGTTACTCTTGTTTACTATGGTGACACGGTTGTAGGTTAATGATCACTCTAGTTTATTATGGTGACACGGTTAACGGTCAATGGTTACTCTGATTTACTATGGTGACACGGTTGAAGGTCAATGCTCACTCTGGTTTACTATGGTGACACAGTTGAAGGTCAATACTCACTCTAGTTTACTATGGTGACAAAGTTGAAGGTCAATACTCACTCTGGTTTACTATGGTGACACGGTTGAAGGTCAATGGTTACTCTTGTTTACTATGGTGACACGGTTGTAGGTCAATGGTTACTCTGGTTTACTATGGTGACACGGTTGTAGGTTAATGATCACTCTGGTTTATTATGGTGACACGGTTAACGGTCAATGGTTACTCTGATTTACTATGGTGACACGGTTGAAGGTCAATGGTTACTCTGCTTTACTATGGTGACACGGTTGTAGGTTAATGATCACTCTAGTTTATTATGGTGACACGGTTAACGGTCAATGGTTACTCTGATTTCCTATGGTGACACGGTTGAAGGTCAATGGTTACTCTTGTTTAGTATGGTGACACGGTTGTAGGTCAATGGTTACTCTGGTTTACTATGGTGACACGGTTGTAGGTCAATGGTTACTCTGATTTACTATGGTGACACGGTTGTAGGTTAATGATCACTCTGGTTTACTATGGTGACACGGTTGAAGGTCAATGCTTACTCTAGTTTACTATGGTGACACGGTTGAAGGTCAATGCTCACTTTAGTTTACTATGGTGACACGCCTGAAGGTCTATGCTTACTCCAGTTTACTATGGTGACACGATTGTAGGTCAATGCTCACTCTGGTTTACTATGGTGACACGGTTGTAGGTCAATGGTTACTCTGGTTTGCTATGGTGACACAGTTGAAAGTCAATGGTTACTCTGGTGTACGGTGACACGGTTGTAGGTCAATGGTTACTCTGGTTTACTATGGTGACACAGTTGAAGGTCAATGCTTACTCTGGTTTGCTATGGTGACACAGTTGAAAGTCAATGGTTACTCTGGTGTACTATATATGGTGACACGGATGAAGGTCAATTCTTACTTTAGTTTACTATGGTGACACAGTTGTTGGTCATAATGTGAGATTATATCTTATACC